AATCAGGTGCACCTTAGTCTCTAGACTGACACCGTTGCTCTTCATTACTCTGGAGAGGTCCCTGATAGCAGATTTTCCCAAAGCCAAGTCCTCTTTTTATTTCCTGGTTGATACCAAGAGTGTTGATTGTGGAACTAAGTAAACTGAAGCTTTAACAATCTCAGTCTCTTCACTGTCTATCATGATGCTGCCAGTGGTGAGAATCTTTGTTTTCTTGATGTTGAGTTGCATGCAGTCCTTGACCTTGTGCAGCAAATGTCTCAGGTCCTCCTCAGTTTCAGCAAGCAAAGTTGTGTCTTCTGCATAATGCAGATTGTTGATGAGTCTTCCTCCAATTCTGATGCCACATTCCTCTTGATAAAATCCAGCCTCCTAAATGATCTGTTCCATGTATACATTGGAAAAGCATGGAGACAGGATGCATCCCTGACACACTCCTTTCCTAATTTTGAACTATGCAGTGTTTACTTGCTCTGTTCTAATGACTGCTTCCTGTTCCAAGTATAAGTTTTGCATAAGCACAATGAAGTGTTCTGGGATTCCCATTCCCCTCAAGGATAGCCACCATTTGTTCTGATCTACACAGTCAAATGTCTTTGCATAGTCAATGAAACACTGATAGACATTCCTCTGGTACTCACTGCTTTCAGTTAAGATCCATCTACAAACAGCTATAATATCCTTAGTGCAACCACCCCTTCTAAACCCAGACTGCACATGTGGCAATTCTTTGTGCTGTCATTTTTGGATAATTTTCAGCAGGAACTTGCTTGCATGTGATGTTAATGATATTGTTTGATAATTTCTGCTGTCAGGTCACTCTTTTTTAGAATAGGAACAAATATGAATCTCTTCTAGTCAGTTGTCCAGGTGGTCTTGGTACAACTTGGTGAGCACATCCAGGGCAGTGTCTTTTTGTTGAAATATGTCAGTTAGTAAGACATCAATTCCTGGGGCCTTGGTTTTTGCCAATTCCTTCAGAGACGCTTGGGCTTCGTTCTTTATCACCACAGGCTCTTACTCATATGTTGGTTCTTCTGTGTCAGCCAATTCTTTTTATACACTCAATTACTTTGTGTACTCCTTCCATCTTCTTTTGTTTCCTGGATTGTTTAATATTATGCCCAAAGCATTATTAAGTATTACAGCTCGAGGCTTGAATTTGTTTTTCAGGTCCTCCAGCATAAGAAGTGCCAAACGAGTTGTCCAATTCAGAATGGATAATTCTCATTCATTGTGAGTTATACCCAACTCAGTGACACTTACTTGCAACAACAGTACTCGTTCATTTCAGCTCACTAATACATAGCATAATGCCCAGAATTCAAATCCACCAGCAGCTCCTTAGGAGAAAGATGGACAGTCTTCCTGCTGTCCTACATAGCTTCCCTATGTACCTACTTCTGCTAATCACTGGGTTTGAGGTCTGTTGCAATTTGTCTCACAGACATTACTTTATTCACATTTGTGGGAGTTATTAAGGAAATAGGCTGGGAGATGGAGAAAGCAAAGGATATCACACTATGAAAGTCCAGTTTAGTCCAGCAGTCCTAAGCCCACTTAATAACAAAACAGAATTCCTCAGTAAATTAAGACAACTTTTCAGTCAACAATGAAAGTCAGGGTTAAGTCCAGCAACACAAGTACAAGAAGCCTCAGGTTTCCTTAATCTGCAGCAAGCTTTCCCTCACAGCAGTCACAAGTCAGCTTTTCCTTCAGTGGTTTCTCAAAGCAGAACCTTTAGCTCTGGCTCCATCTCCAGGGCTCCATCAGGCTACACCTCAACACAGGCTAAAACCAGTAAGATTAGTTCAGTCTCTTGCATTGGCCTCACAGCTAGTTGTTGATGATGTTAAAGATGTTGACCAACAGGTAAACCGTGTTGCAGTTGAGGCAGCTGGAGACCATACCCAAAATTGGGCTAATGAAATGGATATAAAAGCCATTTTCAAAATTCCTAACACTACAGCTACAAAAAAAAAGGAACCAAAAAATAACCAGGTGTTACAACATAGATGAAACTCAAAAACATTAACTAAGTTATGAAACCAGGCACCAAAGGCCACATACTGCATAATTCCATTTATATGCAATATCTGGGAAAGGAAAGTATTCAGAAACAAAGTCGCTATGCAGTGTCTCAATTCTTAAGAATAGGGATGCAGTGTACATGGAAATGAGAGATCTCTAGGGAGTGATGGAAATGTTCCATTACTATATTTTGTTGAGTGTTGCCTGACCCTGTAAATGTATTAAAAATTACTGAATTGTACATAGAAAAATCAGTGGATTTATGTTTTAGAAGTTATACCACAAAGCTGTTTCTAAGAACGTTTATTCACTATAGGGAAATAAGAAGAAAACTGGAAAAAGTAGACAAGAGGTAAACAGACATTGTCCACCATTCCATCTAGAAACAGTCACTGTTAAACTCTTAGTACAATCTTAGTACATTTCCTTTCAATATCTTTTCTATATAGTTTTTCCCTCCCTTCTCCCAGTAACTTTTAAATCAGATTTTTACATACAAAAAAATCCTTTTAGTGCCATTGACAGAATAACACGAGAGGAAAATGATCAGGTAAACTTTTTATCCTTAAGAGATTTTATTTTCTTTTAAACAAGACATGCTTTTCTCAGAGAAGTGGTTTTCCCTTTGGGGTTTCCATAATAGGTAATTTTTGCAATTCTGTCATCATCTTCTGTAGTGGTGGATGTTTGTGCCTTTGTGAATGACTAAGCTAGTAACTAGCCAATGCTCTGTACTCTGCTGTCTCCTGAATATTATTGTCATGGAAATACAGTTTACCTTTCATGGTTACACCACAGGACACAGTAGTATCAATTAGGGACATGAGTGTTTCCAAAGTGCTTACCTAGCATATACCTCTCTGTTGTTGTTGATTGCCTTCGAGTCGAGCATGACTCAGCTTGACGCCCCTGTATGACTATCAACGTTTATCGAAGTTCATAGTTTCTGGAGGCATGTTAACAGTATTAAAGTGCATCGTAACAAAAGTCCCAAAGATTTGTCAAGCTTATTAGCATCCTCTGCTCCTCCCAGGGGTGGCCACTCCCCTGCTTTCTAATACTGTGATGCTGCCCTTTTTATAGAAATTGACTCTCTTAATTTTTATTCTTTTGTACCTGCCTTCCTTTGCTTAATATTTTCTTTTTTAATTCCTTCTCATTTATCCTAGAATTGGAGTAAAGAATAGAATTGATGACATTGAGAACAGGATTCTCTGATGACTAGTTTGGGACTTGGCCCATAGGCACGTTTACAAATCTTCCAGTGAACTTGACCTTCCTTTCATCAAAGTCCCCACTGATTCCTGTACCAGCTTCTATCCAGGCAACTACTAACACTTCTTTGTACTTAGTAATTTTAAATATCTGTCTCATTGTACTAAACTATGAAGCCTGTGTGATCTTTAAGTAAGCGCCAATGTTTAGTAATGTATCTGTAGCAACCCTAGTACCTGGTCCAAGTCTCTACCAGAAACGAGCACTTAGCAAATATGGGTGTTAAGGATAAATATAGTCATTGAAAATGTATTTGCACACTTAGCAAAGATGGGGTTTAAGGATAAATATAGTCATTGAAAATGTATTTGTACATGTTTTAAATAATGGTAAAGCAACAAATGTCGCTGTTAGAGAAATCTCTTGTCATTGTAAAGTTACATATAGTATTACTGACTAATGAATTTTCCATAGTTCATAGTCTAACCATCAGCCTTCAAAAAAATCCCAAACATCACCACCAGACCAAAGGCCCTCTAATCTGTTTAACCCCTGGCAACACTCATCACCTTTCTAACACTGATGGATTCAAATTACAGACCTTTGAATCAGCAGCTCAACACTGTGTCTCACTGCTCCCATGTTTTGCCTTCATAGTTAAGCTTCTAATAGTTGTCACTCAGTAAAATATTTTTTTACAAAATGATTATCAGTAGCTTTGCATTTTAACTCTGCCTTTCTATGATCCTAAATTTTCCAATATAGCCTTGTAATTTTGGGTCCTTTTTTATTTTTGTGTTATTATTATTATTCATTTTAATGAAAATTTACAGAGACTATGGATTTCCATTCATTCATTGTTGCACTTTTCTCCCTGCCCACCCCTTCCCCCCCCACAGTACATTCTTCTCTTTCAAAAGTAAAAGAAAAATTCTTTCATTGTTTTACTATCCCTACCCCCAGGTCCACTCCACTATGCAGCCTTCATTCTGGTCTCCTGTCCTGACAATAATACCTAATCACATATCCCTTTTAGACAGTTTTCTCCCTCATCTTTTTCCATGCAGTATACATTATGTATCCCATCTTTCTCAGTCTCCCCCCAACCCAGATGTCAGTCCTGTTTTACAACAGTGGCACTATGCAGTATTTGTCCTTTTGTGACTGAGATATTTCACTCAGCATAATGTCCTCCAGGGTCATCCATTTTGAATTAATATTGCATAAGTTCCTTGTTTTTCAGTGCATCGTAATATTCCATTGTGTGAATATACCACAGCTTCTCTATCCATTTGTTTGATGGGCACTTAGGTTGTTTCCAACTCCTTGCTATTGTGAACAAAGCCGCAGTAAACATGGGTGTGTATAATATATCTGCTTGGGTGGCAGTTACAGTCTCTTTGGGGTATATTCCCAGTAGTGGAATTGCTGGGTCAAATGGTATCTCTATTTGCAACTTTTTGAGAAAGCGCCACTCCACCTTCCAAAGTGGTTGTACCATTTTAGACTTCCACCAACAGTGAATAAGGGTTTCAGTTTCTCCACAACCTCACCAGCATTTGTTGCTTGCTGTTCTGTTAAATTTTGTTATTCTTACTGTGGTGAGATGATATCTCATAGTAGTTTTGGTGATTTGGGGTTCTTAACTATGAATTTAAATTTAATTCTAAAAGGATTTTAAAAACTAAGATGTAAAGTTAGCATACAAGTTAGAATTTCATGTAAGTCATGCCATGTGTTTTAAATACTAACAGGTTGCTCTCAAGGGAGTGGTATTTTGCATTATGCTCATGGAGACAGCCAGCAAACTCATCTGCTAAAGCAAGGTAAGAATGAAGCATTCACACCCACTGTGCTTTTCACCTGTTCTGTATTCAACGTGGCTGTTTGATTGTACAGGACGAGGCTCCCTGGGCATGGGTTTCAGCGGTGGGAAACGCCCAAGTCAAGAGGAAGAGATGCAGAGTATCGGGCCCAAAGTCCAGCGACAGAGCACTAACTAGGCAAGTCCACCACTTGCTTTATGTACAGCTAATCTAAAATAAAGTGAATTCCAAAATGGAATTAATCCTATTTTCAAAACGGACTGTGAGGCATAAAACTGTGATTGTGTTATGAAACTGATCCATTATTAGATAAGAGAAATGGGCCTGTACTGGACAGAGGGCTGCACCATGTTTTATGATCCCCTCAGTCCATGATCTTTAAATTCTAATAACTTACATTAATTCGGAGATCAAGTTTTCTTTATGAAAATACATGATTTTCAGTTCTTGCTATGTGGCCATGTGCCTAAAACAATTAATGTGGCTTTTTCATTTTAGTGTTATTAATGTTTCTTTGTGAAATTTTCCTTAAATCTTTACCTTACAAAAGATTTCTAAATTTCTTTACTCTACTGTGATATTTCTAAAATGAAAGTCTCCTAGTTTGGAAGTTGTTTCTGTCCTTGTTCAGAAGTATCAAAAAACATGCCTATATCCAAAATTAATTAGACATGGGATCATGTTTGATAATTTACGTGAATATGAGAAAGTATGCGTACACTGCATTTGCCAGCTTCTAAGAAGGACTTCTTGATTCTTTAGATATCATGTTTTTGTTGTTATTATGTGCCATCGAGTGGCTTGCAACTCATAGCGACCCCTATATATAAGAGCCCTAAAACCAGCCTTATCCTGTGCCAACCTTACTGACTCTGACACACCTACTCCCATTACCTCTATCACTAAATCGATCCATCTCATCCAGGGTCTTCCTCTCCTGCGTTGTCCCTCCACCCTTCCAAACAGGGTGTCCCTCTCCAAGGACTGATCCCTCCTTGCAAATGTTCAAAGTTTGTCAGACAGAGCTTCAGAATGCTTGCTTCCAAGGAGCTGCCTAGTTTCACCTTCTAGTTATATTTTTCATCACATAGTTTTTATATGCCAACCTAAACGATAATGTGAATTTTTTGAGTGTAAGGCCGGTGAACATGTATGAAAATGTATTCTTTCATTTCCTGCAATTGGACTTGACTCAGTTTTGTTTTCTTTCCCTTAAATCGCAGAAAACTTTGGAGAGGAATACTGTTGCAGCTGAAATTGGTGGGAATTCAGTGCTTTTTCAGTTAAATTATTTTAAAATGTCCATTGATGGAAGGAAACCGTTACATTTTGAAATGCTTTGTTTCTAATGATATTTCTGTGGTTTTTAACTTTTTAATGGATTTCACATAAGACAAGTGGTAATTTGTATATAAAGAACTTGGTGAAAGAACTCGCTTAATGTAAATATAGTTACAATTAGTATAGACCCATCAATATATTTTTGATAATTTTTCATGTATGGAAAAGACGAAAGCTGCACACTGGTGTTGATATAAAATTCAAGTTTAGCAAAACTATGTGGGAAAATAGGAGGTTTTTAGATTTTTCGTAAAAGACTTTGTTAAAATTTTAGGACAGAATTTTCTTGACATCGTTGTTTGATCTAACTTTGCACTCTTTGATAATAATGTTTTAGAAAATGTGTGTAATCAAAATGTGTAGTTGCAGTCTCTGTTATAACTCAGACAATGTGTTTTAAGCTTCATGTATGCCTGTATGAACCCAGGCTTGTGGACATAATCATGTGTAAAGCTCTCATTGTCTCCTATTCTTTGTTTATTTACAGCTAAAGTGACCTTGATATTAAAGTATATATAAACATGGAATCTATGTGTATGTGGTGGTTTATTTCCTCATTTCTGGCCCTCCCCTTATTCCACCCCACAGGTTTATTTATTTTATGGGTAGCAGAAGAGCCTTAATGGCGAGGTGAGGTACACATACAAATTATAGAAACTGAAGCTGTCAGCCCCAACTGACTAACATCAATGAAAGAACAGCTACCATGTGCTCGAAAATCATTCTTTTTTAAAATATTCCAGTAAAAATACTTAGATTTTTTATATTTCTTTTCATTTTTTGTGTAAAATTTCGTGCACAAAAGATTTAACTCCAGCAGTATTTTCAAGTAACATTGCTTTGGACATTTGTTTATGAATTTAACCAAAACTAGACCCACTTTCATTTCAAGTCAAATCTAGTTTACCCTCAAGCACAATAGAACTGCCTCTTAGGGTTTCTAAAGCTGTAAATCTCTATTAGATGCAGACTGCCACATCACCCCCCCTCTGCAGTAGCTAGGATGTTGAAAATTTGGGCTCTGGAGTCAAATGCCTAGCTCTGCCACTTATTAGCTTCACGATATTAAACAAGTTTAACTTTGTGCCTGCCTTTTTCTTTTTCTCATCGATAAAATGCCTCTGACCTGTTTCATAGTGCAGCTCTGTGTAAAGTGCTTGGGACAGTACCTAATGTGTGATGGGGTACTTGATACACTCAAGTGGCACAGCTTCCGAGATTGTACGGTACACGGTCTGCATAGCTAGCCGAACACCACGGCTTTGGCTGGCTATCATTATTGATTATATTATTACGGGGCACGCTGATGGCTTAATGGTAAGGAATTGTGCTGCCAGGCTAGAGGTACATGGTTCAAATCCACCAGCTGCTCTGTAGTTGAATGACAAGCAGCCTCCTCCCATGTGATTTATTACATCTGAAAACCTGCTGGAGGGTCAGCTCTGAGTTGGTTCTGACTCGACAGGACTCAACACCAACAATTAATTATTACTACCTCTTTACTGTTCTCCAGTACAGGAGTTCTGGTGGCTTAGTGGAAAGGAGCTACCTGCCAACTCGAAGGCACATGGTTCCAATCCACCTGCTTCTCTGCAGAAGAAAGGTAGGCAGTTTCCTGCCATGTGATTTACTGTTTCTGAAAACAGCCTAGAGGTTCAGATATGAGTTGATTCTGACTCATCAGTAGGAAACAACAGCAGTAAGAGTCGTTCTCCATTAGGCTAGCGCTTGTCTTTCTAGACTATACCAAATGGTTTTGCTTTTCCAGCTCCACTAATAATATATACTCATTATGATTGCTATATTTAACTATTAAGGTGAATTTGAGTCAAAAATTCAGAAACATCGCATGAGACATGTTTTTTAAATATATGTAGGGCATTTTTAAAATGCATATGTTATAATGAATTAACAATGAGCAATAAATACCACTACTGAAAAGGAGAAACCATGCCTTATATTTTCATTACTGTTAATACCGAGTAATGTTTTCATTCTTTTTTTCTGATAACTGTACTTTACATCCTGTTCTTTGGGCTTGATGATTCTGCGCAGACTTGAAAAATTCATAGGCATGAGATTTATTATCCCCATGGGGGGAAAAGGAGGTTCTGTTTTAATGTGATTAAATAAGTATTTTAATAAAAGTTATTTCTGAATATTGTTCCAGGAGGGATACTTAGAAGTGTGACAGTTTGTATTTGAAAGTTTTTAGTGTGGTTTAAAATGCACTGAAGAAGTAGCATTGAAAAGGGCAGCAATAAATCAATCACATGAACTCGTGATAGTTAAGTAATGTCTTCCCACCCTCACTGCATAAGGGCTGGTATCATGACAACCCTCCAGGGCACAAGAGTTGGTGTTTGAAGGATTTTTGTTCATTTAACAAACACTTTTTGAGTTCTTACTACCAAAAACTGTGCTGTACAACTTAGAAAAATGAGTCAAGGGAACCAGGCTTTTGAAAAGTCTTTATGTTTCAGGATCATTTAAAGTAAGTAGTATATGGAGTTGTAAAAGGATGCATTTAACATACTATAAACTTGAGCATCTTTCTACAGCTTCAAATATATGTTAGTAATTTTTTTTAAATTGTGTGGTCCTAGCAATGTACCACCCCTGTTTAATACTTTTTGTTGTTGTTATACGCTGTCAAGGTGATTCCGGCCCATAGCAACACTGTGAACAACAGCTCTTAACCTGGCTCCATCCTGAGCCAACCTCACTAGAGGGGTCTAATAAGCCTGACCTCACTGCTGCAGTCACTGGGTCAGTCCAATCTCATCCAAGACCTTCCTCTCTTGCACTGGCCTACTGTCCTTCCAAGCATGGTGCCCTTCTCTAAAGACTGGTCTCTCCTGGCAACATGCTCAAAGTATGTGAGATAGAATTTCAAAATCTTTGTCTCCAAGGAGCAATTTGGTTTGACCTCCAGGACAGACCTGGTTGTTATCTTGGCAGTCTGTGGTATTTTCAGTACTCTTCAGCACCACGGCTCAAAGGCATCAATTCTTCTCTCATTCGTTATCCAACTCTCAGATGCATAACTAGCAATGGAGATTGCCATGGCTTAGCTTAGACCAGACACACCTTAGTCTTTAGACTAACATCATTGCTCTTTAGCACTCTGGAGTGGTTCTTTTTTTTATTTTCTTTTTATTTGCTTATTTATAATTTTTCTCTTTTTTTTACTAGTTTCTTTACAAAATTCTAAAATTTGAACAAATTCTTTCCATTTCACACACACCCACACACACACCCATCAAATTGTACAACCCAATGGTGAATCCCCTCTTCCCCCTGTACATCCATATCCCTCTGCTTCCAGGCTCTTCCACCCCTCCTGGATCCTTATATTCTTTGTACAATAATGGTCTTATGCAATATTTAGCCTGTGGGAATTAGTTCACTCAGCATAATGCTCTCCAGTCCCTCCCAAGTTAGGGAATAATTTACAAAGTTATTGCTCTTGCGTGCTGCATAGTACTCCATTGTGTGAATGTACTATAATTTCTCTGGAGAGGTTCTTGACAGCAGATTTTCTCAGAGCAACTCATCTTTTGATTTGCTGACTGCTGATGTCAGGGGTGTTGATTGTTTAGCTATGCAAGATGAAATCATTAACAACTTCAATCTTTTTTCCATCTATCCTGATGTTGCTGTTGGCCCGGTGGTGAAGATTTTTGTTTTCTTGAGTTTGAGATGAAATCCACACTGAAGACTACAATCCTTGGTCTTCTGCAGCAAGTGTTTAGGTCCTCAGCATAACTTAGGTTGTTGAATCTTCCTCTGATCCTTACGACACATTCTTCGTAATAAAGTCTAGCCTCTTGAATGATCTGTTCAGCATGTAAACTGAAAAGGCATGAAGAAAGAATACATCTCTGAAGCAGTCCTTGGTCTAGGTCTAGGTGAACACATTCAAGTGTTGTGGGACTCTCATTCTTCTCAATGTTATGCATAATTTGTTGTGATCCACACACTAGTCAATAAAACACAACTATCTTTATGGTACTCTGGTTTCCAGTCAGTTGGCCAGGTGGTTTTCCTACAGATTTCTTGGCACAACTTGTGAGCACATCCTGGGCACCATCTGATTGTTGAAATATATCAGTTGATATACCGTCAATTCCTGGGGCATTGGGTTTTTGCTAATTCTCTCAGAGCAGCTTGAACTTCTTTCATCACCACAGGCTCTTGCTCAGACGTTTCATAAGCTTCTGTGTCCGCCAATTCCTTTTGGTA